AATGGACTATGCTCCAGCAAGGACACAGACCGCACTTGACACTTCTTGAGGCTGAGAGGTGTGCATCAGGGAACATTAGACTTTCCTTTTACACGTGTTAGAAAGTAAAAGGAACCTTTAAATGTTTAAAAAGCAAAGCAGCAAATGAGGGGATGAGCAAAGTCGATGGGATCACTGAGACACAGGGCGTTTGCATGGGGCTGAAGGCCGAGGCAGAAGTCCGAGCTGGAGAGGACCCCGCTCGACCCTGCAGAGAAGCGCCAGGACTGGCCTGGCTCTGCACTGGGGGACACGCGCCTTAAGATGCCCACAGCGGTGTGGATGAGCACGTGTGCGCCTCTCTCAGGAAGGCCCAGAGCAGCTCTGCTGAGCGGCCGGCCTGAGCTGCGAGGCTGGAAGCCCACATGGGAGCAGTTCCCTCGTAACTGTAGACCTGAGTAGAAAAATTAATGGCAAGCGTGTCTGATGAAGATATATGAAAGGAACTTTGCAAAAAAGGAAGGGAAAGCTACCAGCCTGCTCTAAGCCCTCAGAGTCCGCCCAGGAGCCCGTGGGACGGGCGAGTAAGCAAGCAGCTGTGGTGCGGGGCAAGTCACCCAGGCTTGCGGAGGTCCTTCGCGGAGTAGAGGGGTAATTCATTAGCTCTTGCAAAATGAAGCAGTGTCAAAAATAACTCCATGCTTTTAAGTCTTGAAATATACTAAAGATGACCAATACTATCAACAAATTATGCAGAAAATCTTGCTTTTTCCTGATTATAGATCAGTTATGCTCACAGTAATTTACAATAAAGATTCTCCCATAATTGCCTACACTGAGGAATACTGTCCTTACAGAAAATCAAATACCTTTAACTTGCTAAAGGAAGCAGGTAGAGTCCCATCCCTACGGGGGCAGGGGCCTTGCTGGGACCCCTCAGCCAGCCGTTTCCAGCCCAGAGGGACTCACAGGCACCAGGGGCTCCCACCCACTGCCTCTGTCCCACACAGCAAACGAGGGTGCACCGTTCTATATAAACTAACGCTCCCAGTGAAAAGGACAGAAAGACTGTCCCGTGTGCCCCCGATGAAGATGCCACGCACACTTACAGTTCTGGCAAGGCCTGAAGGCAGAGCAAATTAAGAATTTTATAATTAAGAAATACAGTATTGGGAAACCAACGTCCAAATGGCCATCAACAAATGAATGGATAAAACAAAATGTTTCATTCCCCACGAAGGAATATTCTTCAGCCACGGAGAGGAAGGAAGGGCAGACACCAGCTCCGCAGGGGCGGACGCGAGGACACCGGTCCCCAGGGCACACGCTGTGCGGAGCGGGGAACGGAGGGACAGCTAGCGGTACAGCGTCCATCAGGGTGGGCAAAGTTCCGGACTAGGGGGGGCGCTGGCTGCACGTGACTGCACTCATGAGCAGTGTACTGTACAACAGCAAATCTCATGTTCCACGTGTGTCATACACACACCTATATGTGATATTTGGTCAGTGTATCTGCTCAGCACTGGGTGCCTTCTGGTTCCTTGGAGAGGAACTGGCACCCTCCTCTGTGGTCCTTGCTGGAGAAAACACCCCCTGTGGGGGTTATTGGCACTAACAGACCTTCATGTCTTTAACTACCACACATAAGAATACAGCGGTAATTTGGCGAGTGAGAGCTGTATCTTGAGACAATAGGCTGTTGTTTTCTTGAGTACCAGTGTTACACCAGGTAGGAACAGGCTTTTTACATGCCCCTTTCTCTATTAACAGCCACCCTATCCTCCTTAGGCAGAGCTGGCCCCCTGGTGCTAGAACCCCCATGTGCAGAGCACGGCCTTGGGGCTGCCAGCAGGGAGGCCCCGGAGCGCACACACAGCTGAGGGTAGGCCACGCTGGCACAGCATGTCATTAGGTAACCTCACCCAGAGCAGAGCTGCTCACAGCAACCCGGGAAGGCACTGGCTCCAGGGAGTGCCACCCTCCTGGCCAGCAGACCTTCTGTGGTCTGGGGCCACTCATCTACCATCCCTACAAAACTCCAAGGCCTCACTGCTAAGGGAGCCAGACAGGGGTGGAGGGGAGGCACTCTCTGCAGCTGTATCCCTTCCCAGTCGCTCCAGAGAGTCACGCGAGGCCATCTGCTGGGTCATGGAGCGGTCGTGCACGCCCACATGGGCCTGGTGGGCCTTCAGGTGGCCTCCAGGACAGTCTTCCCACATGAGGCCACACAGCGGAGCAGAGGAGCTGACCACACAGTCCTTGGCCAGGGCCGGGCCGGGCCAGCCCACATCCGTCTGTCTGTCCATGGCGTCCAGCACTCCTCTGCAGCCCCCAAGGTGGGACTATGGGGACCTCCATACCCACCCATGACCTGCCTGCCTGCCACCCCGTGACCCCAGCAGAAGGCACGCCAGCCAGGCCAGGCAGGCAGAGCAGATCACAGAGTCCCTGCAGGGCTGCTCAGGGCACAGGGGCCAGGCATGCAGGGCTCCCGGAACCCAAGGTCAAGCGCAGTGAAGGTTCTGCACCAAGTCACCTGCCTTCCGACTGTGGGGAAGACCGATATTCCTACTTAGCTATCAGGCAGGGTTTCATGAGCAACCCATTAGCAGATCCTGGCAAGAAGGACTTCCGTCAGCAGGAAAGGGGGGACAGGCCCGGCAACCCGACCAAGGATCTTCATGGCAGCACTTCTCGGAGGAGCGTGGAGGGAGGCGGCCGGTGTGCAGGCGAGGGCGGAGGGAGGGAAGCTGGGTGAGGGCCGACTGGGGTCACACAGGCGGGACACCACGCTCCAGGGCTTAGAATGTGTTCTATAAATAGCTGGCAACCTTTGCTAAGGTCCAAGCAGGCAGTGTGACCACAGCAGGACGTGCAGGGTGGGCCCTGTCTTGCATCCCCTGCTTCTCCCACCAGCAGGGCCATGGATTCGCTCTACCCCCGGGCCTGCTCCCTCCGGAGCTCGCTGCCCCAAGAGGCCACCCAGCCACCCTGACTGCAGACCTCTTGCACCAAGCGCTGCACATTTCATCCGCTGTCTGCCCATCTGCTCCCTATCTCCAAAGCCCCTGCAGGAAGGAATCATGTCTGCTCTCTCTTCAGCATCTGGGGCAAGCCCAGCACACAGTAGGTGCTCCGTACACTGCGGGCAGGAAGGCACAGCGGCAGGCAGTAGCAGACAGGTTGGGGCGCACTGCCACACCACACACAGCAATCCTGCAATGGATGGCGAGGTTTCTGTCCTCGTCCCTGGGCCAGGGGACGATGGGACAGCAGATGAGTTAGCACAACTACAGCAACAATCTTCAAACGCTCAGAAGTGACCGCCTGCTGGCCACAATCAACTAGAATATGTTCCTCCGTGTGGGTTACACCATCCATATTTTCTAGAGCAGGTCAGAAGCTACTAGCAAAAGCACAGAAGAACCATCCTAAAATGCAGACACAGATGACACTTCACTCAAGCACACCCTCAAAGTGGGCTCCTGTTGTTTCTGGGGGAGCAGGGAACAGACTTCACTTTTAAATACAGTGGCAGTAAGGATGGGTGGCCGGCAAGAGGTCTCTCTTTGGCCCCCAAGTGTTTTAAACTCATTCTGCTACTAGCCAGGAATAGAGGTCGAACCTCTGGACGGCTCACCCCTACTCAATGTGTACCTGAATTATCAGAAAAATCCATCAGCCGGACTTGATAAAGAAGAGGCTTTCTTAACAGGGTGACATTTATGAACCTCCACAAAAAGCACAAATAAAATTAAACTAGAGACTCCACTCAGTAAAGCTGCCTATTTTTAAAAAGCCTGCAGGAACCAAAGGCAGCCCAGCTCTTCACCAAACACCCCAAAAGAAAACACTGGCCCAGTCTGGGCTTGCTCCAGAGACAAAAGCCCCGGGCCACGTCCTTCCACATCCAGGGATGCGGAGTCCCTTCCCACCCTCAACCAGCCATGGGGCCAAGCACCCACACCTGCTCCAGGTGCCCCACCCCGAGCCCCACGTGCCCAGCACACAGCCAGGCCTGCGCGCTGCACCAACAGGGACTCAGACTTGGAATCAGACTGTCTTTTCAGGCAGTTTTACCAAAATGTTTGTAAATCATGACACAATTAAAGTGGAACATCTCTCTGACACACTCTGGATTAAGTGTTCACACACAGGTCATTCTGCAGCGTGAAAGAGAATAGAATATAGGATTCTCCTCACTCAGTAGTTCTCAAAGAGTGGTCGCTGAAATTCCTGGGGCATTCCCAGCCAGACCTTTTGAGAGGCTTCCCAAGGTCAAAACTGCTTGTTGTACTTAAAACATCATTTGCCCTTTTCCCAGCTCACTGGGCTCATCACAAGAGCATGGTCTCTCAGAAAAGAGGGCACAGCCGCCTACGAGTGTCCTTACTGGGGCAGTGAGGCATGCATGTCAGGTAGCAATGCCTCTAGCCTGAGAAATGGGGGGCGCCCAGCCCTGAGCACGTGCCCTCGCTGAGTGCCGTGAGCTCAACTTGCTTTCCACACAGGAGTGAGCCGGGTGTTGAGCAAACACTTTCTCAAAACTGAACAAGTGGGCCTGCCATTCACTCTGGGAAAACAGCTGCCAGCATTTGCTGCAAAGATAACATTTAAGCTTTAAGGTGAAAATTAGAATTGTGGGGAACTTGTATCCACCACCATGAGCCTGACCGAAGGTGCCAAGTACTTAAAGCCTCCTGATGCGACGGCAGTGATGCCACGAAGGTGACGCCTGTCTGCGTGCGGTGAGCTGTGTCAGCGCCCGAGGACCTGCACAACTCGGGCAGCTGGCAGTTTCCAGGGAGCCCCATGACACCACAGTTGCGCCTGGCTACAGACCGAGCCACACAGTGACTGCAGGTGACTCCTAAGGAACCGCCTCGTGGAGATGCGGTGCGGTAAGAAGAGCGCCCGTCACCACTGGAGAGGCGGCCAGGGCGCGCCTCCCTGTCGGCTCCGTGTTTGAGTGAGGCCAGAATTTTTTCTTATGCTTCAACAAAAACTACATATCCCACGGCTTGAACACAGAAACTAACCGCTGCTTTTATTGAGCCAAACCTTGAGATTGACAAAAAATGTAACTGTATCACTCTTCTCATTATTATGTTTTAGTTTTTAAAAATTATCTTTCATAAAAATATGCCACATTAATAAATACAAGACTGTTGTCATTATAGTACATTCAATATTTTTTAAACTCCTCACTTTTAATTTCTAATACAATAGGTATTAATAGATATAATTCACACAGACAAGCGGTCTTTGGGGTCCTTGATAATTTGAGAACATAAACAGGTCCTGATGCAAAAAGCTTTCAGCGCCACCGTCTGAGTTCATCATCTTGTGGGTGTGGACCGTCATCCAGAAGGTCTGTGCAGACACGGGCTCCGCCTCAGGTTTCTCCAGGAACAACGGCAACACCGACAGACACGAGAGACACAAAGGGACCCAACCGCTGAACGCTGTGGGTGTTTCTGATCAGTTCCCATCAGAAGACGGAACAGAACAGGCTAGCTGGTAGAGGACGGGCTGGTCTGACCAGCCCAGGGGCCCAAGTGCTCTGCCCACTGTCATGAGGCTGGCTCAAGCGATCTGATCAGACTTAACCACAGGTCTTGGGCCTCCTGGCACATGAGAAGACAGGACAGTCCACTCTCTCTAGGAAACTGCGACCAAAAGGGAAATGGACACACAAGAACAATTTCAACAGAATAAACACAGAGTTAATCATTAGTACATGTGAAATAGTCCACACTTGCCATGTCTGTTCCAGAGCAACAGGAAGAACCCCCGGCAGGCCTCGATGAGCCAAGCTAAGTTACGAGTGCCTCTGGGTTAAGCCAGCTGGCAGCACTCTAGTACACACAACCCAGAACGGAGAGGAACGCAGGCACACACAGTCCACACAGTCCTACAATATGGGATCAGGGCACATTTCCTGTCCTTTTGGGGTTTGAGGGAACGTTTGGGAAATCATCACATTACCTCCAAGTTTGTCCAGTTACTTCAGTTTTAAACAACTATTTATCAAGTGCTCACTCCACGACAGCAAACATCCTCACTTCAAAATACATAAAACTTCCCCAGGGAAAAGATCTGAGCAAACAGGGGTTCCTCGCCACTTTCAGAGAGCAAACAGCCTTCCCAGCTGGCTACCAAGAAGGAGGAGATACGTGGCCGGCAACCAGTCCTTGCCAGTCCAGGGATCGCCACCGGTGTGGCCCCAGAGAGGAGAGGAAATCATCTTCAGGCTGGGAAAATGTCACAGTGTGCCTTCTGCTTCCTGCTTTTTAGTTTGACCTTAAATGACCGCCAGTCAGGTGGGCCCCTCCCACTGCAGCGCTAACGTGTCAACTGCACCCAAGCCTGTCAGCGAGGCGCACTCACAATGGAGCCGTGCTTGCCGGGCGGGCCCTACGCTCACACAGGCCACGAGGCAGAGGTCAGAGCGATCCGCAGTGAGCAGCACATGGCAGAGGGACACGGGACCCCAGGCAGTTATGAAATGCCCACCCTCAACCATGCTCACTGGCAGATGTAAAGTTCATTCTGACGTAAAGGGAGGAAATGATACAGGGATCAAGACTGCGCCTTCAGAAGTCCTTTCATCCTGTTACCCAATTCTGGACACCGTCCTTCATAAAAGCATGTGAAAATGATCTCAGACATCAGTAAGAGACAGAGGTGGCTAAAGAAGATGCCTGAAATGTCAGCAAAGGGGTTAGCAAACGGAAATTCCCCTAAGTGTTCCCCGTTCTGCAGGGTCCGCCTCACAGTATACCAGAGGGACACACAGCCAGAAATGGACTCAAATATATGGTTTCAGAAAGAAAGCATAAGTCAGGTCAGTGTCCACGAAGCCAGAGGGTATCCAAAACAAACCCAACCAATGTTCTTCAATTAAAACACTGCCAAACAAACCTCACTTAAAGCCAAGTCAGTTTCTCCTTTTATTCCACAGCTAAGTTTGGGCTACCATAAAGAATACCTTTAAAAGCCCTGTACGATGGCATAATCATGGCAAAGCAATGCAAGCTGTGCACCCCATGTGTCCACCACCGGCCTGTCTGAGGCCCTCCCGGGTCTAACACCCAAATGACACCCTCAGGGGTCAAGTCCTAGAGGCTGCAGGTCGCAGCCCAGTCCAAATTTGGGGTCCAAAACTTCCTGCTACGTGACCTGCACCTCCCTGTGCCTCAGTTTTTCCACCTCCGGAATGGGAGGATGCCAACACACAGCAGTGTCAAGTCTCCACCCTCAGCATGGCCCGAGCACCTGCTGCCCAGTGGCATGGCAGCCCTGTGCCACTGTTGCTGAGCTGGCCTCCCCCTCCCCAGCAGAGCTCCTTGGGAAGCTAAAGTCACCCGCGGGCCTCAAATTGCATGCGTGTGATTCTTAAGACCATCTTCATCACATGCAGACCGGTGGCCACTCCCTGCAGGTCACTGCCATTCACCCATTTATCACTTCCAGCATGCTTCTGCTATTAACTGTCCAATGCCCTATAATCATGCAGAAAATAGTACTTCTAGTTTTTTTAAGGCTAAAGGTGTGCACTTGCCAAATGCAAGCATTTAAAATAGACTTCTAAAATAAAATAAACAAAAATGTGATAAAGTGGATAGCAACAGGCACCATGCAGGACTCAGGTCCTCATGACCCAGAAGCGGCCAACTAGGGGTCAGCTGGCCCGTTCTCGGGCCACACAGCCCCAGAAGCATCCCCCTAGCGTGCAGCACGGCTTTCATGGACTGAAACCACTGTCCAGACAGCGGCAGCCTCAAATTCAAAGCCCAGGAGCCCGGTGACATGGAGACCTCTCCACTACTGGGCAACAGCTGACATTTTAGGGACAGAATGGAACGCCGTGGACTGCGGCACTCGGGGGGATAAACGCAGGTGAAGCGAAGCTTTAACGTGCTCAGAGCTGTTTCCTTTGGTTTCTTAAACTGAACAAGCCTCTTGCAAGTGTCTGCTGCTAACTCCCCTTTCTCAGTTTCTCTTCCCTTTGTTACTCGCAGAGACGGTCCCTTCAGGGCATCACGGATCCCTTCCATGCAGAGATCTGTTCTGAATTAAAAACCACTATTGAGTTACAGCCCTAACGTGTCTGCTTTGTTTCTTCTGGGGCCTTGTTTAGAAAACAACTTTGACAATGTCCAAGCAAACAACTAGGGCCAAATATGAGAACAGTCACTTAAAAAGGCACGGGAAGTCTATTCCTTAGATTTCATATCTTAAAAAAGGGTATTTTATGAGAAACACAGGCTACACTATTCATCTGTATCAGTTTATAACCTCTAATCTGTAACGTTGAAATCAAAGCGGCCCAGACCACGGACATGCCTTCCTGGAACACAGTGGAAAAGCCGGTCCCACAGGGCTCACTCGGGGTGTTCTCGAGGGGGTGGGGGACACACAGGGTTGGCACTGAGTTGTCCACATCCTTGCATGGGCACCCCATAACCAAGCCCTGTGTGGTTCCCATGCCCCATCATTCAGGCCAAAGAGGAGGCCCCCAAAGGAACCCCCTACTGCCCTACAGCACCCCGCTTTACAGCCCTCACCCCCATGCAACAGGGGCACAGACTCAGCCCATGCGCGGTTTTCAGATCACTCCGAGTGGGGCTGTGGCATCCCTCAGCCAACAGAGACAATGGCCACGGTGATGCGTCAGGCACGTCCGAGGCACCAAGAGGCACTTCCCACGTATCAAGTCATTGTATGTCCACAAGAACAACTTCTAATCATGATAACCACAACAATCACACCATTATGTAACTATCATATGACAATCCATCCGTACAGTGAATAAACATAAGCAACAATTACTTTCTATAACTAAATACACCTCCATATTATATAGAAAATATGATATAATGTTAATAATTACTCTTGACAGCTTCGTAATACATAATTTTCTATTAATGCAGTTATTATCTTAACAAAAATCAGTACTATCCTTACTCCATTTTACAGACGAGGAAACAGCTCCAAACGCTGACGTGAGAGCGAAGCCAGGACACGCAACCAGGGCGGCAGCCGCAGAGCCCGGGAAGCTGCCGGCTGCCTTGGGCCCCCGGCCCACAGAACGGGTGCCTGTGGAGGGCACCCGTGCTGCTCCCCTCTCAGTGGGGAACGGTGCCCACCAGTGGGTACTCAGCAGGGTGTCTTAGGTTTGAGTTTATGCCTAAGTGTGCACATTTTTACTAAGCAGTCTGCCCCCGCCCCTGCCCCACTCTCTCCCTCTCACACACACGCCGCCACCCTACAAGCCCGGGATGTGCTCTGCTAGGGACGCGCCAGGTGCTGGGGATGCAGCAGGAGACACGGTCCTGCCCTCTGGCAGCCACAGCCAGTGAGGGGCAGGACACCAAGCCACCCCCTAAACAGGTTACCAGGACTGTGAAAGACGCTCTGAGGGAAGAGAGGGCAGGCCGCGAGTGCACACAGGAACCAGGCCATTCAAGCGGCAGCCGGCAGGAGCGCCTGCGGTACCACAGGCCTGCAGCTCCTGAACCTGTTCCGCCCCCACAGTAACTCTCTGGGGGAATCGCGACGCCCATTTTATACGCGAGAAGACAGGCGCTGAAGTAGTGACCCGCCAAGCCACGCAGCTAGGTGGCAAGTGGCCAGGAGTCAGGCCACAGCTGCCCGCACCTTCCCCGTGTCGCATGGGAGGCCACCGTCTGCTGAGCGCACGGCCACCGCCTGTCACTTGGGTCACTGCTCTACACGTGGGTGTCCCCCACCGCCAAAGTAACAGCACTCAGAAATGCTCGAGTCCTTGGGCGGAAAAAGTAAAAACGCAGGCTAAGCCCTACTATGTGTGTATGCAGTACAGAAAAAAATGCCTGGAAATAAACTCAGACACGTGAACACAGTAACTATTTCTAACTATATTCATAAGGCATATGGGTGAATTTTTTCTCTTTTTATTTCAACAACTTACTTCTTTGAAATGAGCTTGTACCCCCTCTTATCAGGAAGAGAGAGGAAACTTTTTAAAACTAGAATCAAAAGGCAACAGTCCTGCACCAGGGTTCCCACCCAGGAAGATCCCGCAGGGACCCCTGTGGGGTGGGGGGCGGGGCGCAGTGGGGAGCCCCGGGGCCAAACATGTAGCAAACAGGCACAGAGCTACTCAGGGGCTCCGGCACAACTTTGCAGCCACCTGTGTGGCGACTGTGACATTTGCAGGGCAACACCAACAGCACTTCTGTAACTGAAGCTAAAGTTCTGACTCCCCGTGGTTTGTTTCAGATTTGAGCTGCAACACTAACAACAATTTCACTTCCACTCCAGACCCCTTGCTACCCTCCCCAAACCTCTTAAGTGCATTGCTCACACACGAGGAGAAACAGAAGCCTGGGCACATGAGACGTCCACAACACTGCGAGTAAGAGCTGGCAGGGCCCCGGAGGCCGGGTCAGACAGTAGGTGCGGGGGGCCTCAGCAGGCTCGAGGGGGTGGGAGGACCCGGAGCCCACCCCCAGCTCTCCCTCGGTCTGCACGGCTCTCCTCCCAGGGACCCGGGTCAGCCATTCTGAAACCACGTCCCACGGATGCAGGGCTGAGTGATTGGGCATGTGCACCAAGGGTAATGGGGCCCAGGCTTCTCCCTGCCCAGAGAAGTGATCACGAAGTCAAGAGTAAAGCTGGGTGAACCCGGGTACTGGGCCAGAGTCAGAAACATCATTGTAAAGTCACGAGTTTCCATGTGCACCCAGAAGGATGGAGACACGCGGGCGTGCACATGTACGTGAGCATAAACACAACGCTGAGCTGCGTCCACTGAACGGACGCCCTGGGACAAAGCGCACACCCCAGGTCTCAGCTCCTGAAGCCATTCTCCAAAGAAGGGCACAGAGCTCCTTGGTGAAATGGATGGACAGAGATTCGGGGTGACCTGCAGCCTCCTGGGGGCTCACACGGGGTACTCAGAGCTGACGGGGGCAGGTGGGAAGGGCACCAGCACTCATCTGGGCTGCAAGTCAGGTCACAAAAGGCAAAAACCAAGGGGCTGTCACAGAGTGGGGACAGCGCAGCGCCCAGGCTGGGCACGGGGTGCGTGGGGAACGTCCAGAAAACAGACATTAGTCAGACTAACAGCCAAACTGCACCAGCTTTGTGCACAAAGCACAGAGCCGCGTTAACTCCCGAGTGCCAGCGGCGGCCCTGTGACCGGCCGAGGCAGCCCCAGTGGGCAAGCCGGCACGGGAGCCCGCACCCCTTTGCTGTGCTCCTGCAAATCTGAAATCATTTCAAAATAAATGGTTAAAAGAGTATTTCTGAAGGCAGTGACATGATGCTTCAAATAATGGACGGCGGCGAGCAAGGGAGACACGAGCAGAGTTAGAATGACTTGCTGAGAGGAGCGGTGGTCGCATGGGTGTCCCTGTATTGTCCCCTCCATGCTGGCCAACATTTGGATTTTCCTCATTAAAAAAATCCTTTAAACATGCTCTCAAAGTTTGCAAACAACCTGAGTCTGCTCACTTCTTTTAGTGCATTGTATCAGGACCCAGCCAAGCTCCCCCCCCCCCACCAAAATCAGCCGTTCCCAGGCTCGCTCCTCTCCCTACCTCCACGGCTCCACCCTGTCCTCAGCACCTCTCCAATGTGCCACTTCGGGGCATCTCCAAGCCACTTCCATCCGCCCTCCTCCCTGCAGCCAGTAGTTCCTTACAAACACACGGAGCACACGTGCATCTCACACTTACTCCCCCACACTCTGGATTAAGGCCAGTGTGCCCAGAGTAGCCTCTGCCTCTGGGCCTGCCTAACCCTGTCCCAAGCCCCCCACAAGCCATGCTCCCTGTCACAGTCCCTCGCCAGCCCACCTACACTACAGGCACTTGCATTGTCCATGGACTTGTGGGTGATCATCTGATGCAGAAGCCACCTGGGTTACACTGGTCACTGCTTCCCCAGTACTGCGCATGATGCCTGGCACAGAGCGGGCACTCAATACTCACTCATAGAGGGAACACCTTTGACATTAGACATATAGGCCTGAATCTGGCTAATGGACTCTTGTATTCTTTCCCATCCTATTAAAGTAAGGTTTAGCTTTTCTGTGTTTATATAGTTGCCTAGGTTCCAAACATACTCGAAACTATGGCATAAAGAAATGGATGTATCCTATAGCTGTTAGGTAGATTGGGGTAAAACATGCTTAAGTCTGATTTATTTTTTGCACTTTGGTAAGAAATGATCATAAGAAATGATTTATTACATTAAGAATTTCACTTCCTAAAAGACTGTGATGACAGTAGTGTTAGTAAGGATATGGAAGAATTGAAACCCTGCACGTTGCTAGTGGGAATGTAAAATAGTGCAGCCACTCTGTGGAAACGCTGGATAATTGCTCAAAAAGTTACACAGAGCAGAACCCAGCAACTGCTCTCCTAGGTATGTCCCCAAGAGAAAGGAAAACATGTCCACACACCAACTTGTCACACATGCTCACAGCAGCACTATTAGTGGCCAAAAGGTAGTAACAACCCACATGCCCATCAACAGATGCCGGATAAACAAACCGTGACGCAAACATGCGATGGGTTATGCCAACCATAAAGACAAGTGCAGGGCTAATGCCTGCTGCGGCCTGGACCTTGAAAACATTATGGTGAGTGACAGAAGCCAGGTAAAAGGTCTCATATTTTATGATTCCATTTATATGCAATACGCAGAGTAGACAAATCCACAGAGACAGACGGCAGAATGGCGCCGGCCAGGGGCTGGGGGGTGGGGAGTGGCCGTTTAATGGGTACAGGGCTTCCTTCTGCGGGGACGGTAATGTTTTGGAACTTGTTGGAGGTGATGGTTGCACAACACGGTAAATGTACCAAATGCCACTGGACTGTTCACTTTAAAATGACTTATTTTTATGTATGTGAATTTTGCCTCAATTTTAAAAAAATGACTGTGACATTTTGAAAGAACTTCTCTTCGAAACACCTTCCATTTTCTCTTCCCTTTGTTAAGGGTACAGACACTCTTGGAAAAGACCACCCAGAGAGTGGAACTGAGCAGCTGAGAGTCCTGTAGGGCCAGCCTCTGGGTAAGGTGGCCAAAGCGCTTCCTAATGGCGCCCAGTGCGCAGTACTGGCGAGCAGTCTCCGGGCACTGGGCACCTGAACGGCAGGCAGAAAACCACTACATCGATCATCGATCTGAAAGGGGAAGAGATTCTTCAACAGCCATTATTCTACCATGTGAGCTTAAAAATATCTTATTTCAATAAAAACATGCAGAAATATTTTTTTAAAAATACTTCAAGTAAGTGTTTGCTGGAATGCCAAGCAGGTACCCTCAGAAAGCACAACAGAATATGTCTTACAGACTGCAAGTGACACTTCACCCCCAAGGACATGGCAGGGGACGGCCCCCTGCTCACTGGCCCCCTCGGGTGAGGTGAAACCCCAAGGAAGTGAGATGCAAATTCCTCGAAAAGCGACTACCTCTCTGGCTTCCTTGTAAACACACACA